TTTCCCCCCCTCGCCGGGGCGCAGGGAGCTGCGGGCTCTGGTGATCGAGATGGTCCTGGCCACCGACATGTCCTGCCACTTCCAGCAGGTGAAGTCCATGAAGACGTCCCTGCAGCAGCTGGAGCGGTGAGTATGGGTGCCCACCCAGGTCGGGGAGGGGGGGGGCCCGGTGGCGGGGAGGGGGACGTGGTTTTAGGGACAAGGCTCAGCGCCAGGGTCCCCTCCCCAGGATCGATAAGTCCAAGGTGCTGTCGCTGCTGCTGCACGCGGCCGACATCAGCCACCCCACCAAGCAGTGGTCGGTGCACAGCCGCTGGACCAAAGCCCTGATGGAGGAGTTCTTCAGGCAGGTAGGGCGCCCGCGTCCCCGGGGACGGGTGGTGGGACACGGGGACCACCCCTTGGGGACACGTCTCCCTTGCCTTGCCAGGGGGACAAGGAGGCTGAGCTGGGGCTGCCCTTCTCGCCCCTCTGCGACCGCACCTCCACGCTGGTGGCCCAGTCCCAGATCGGTGAGTGGTGGTGGGTCCCCATCCCCTGCCACCGGCCCCGCCACGGGCAGGGGATGTCCCCATCGACGCCGTGTCCCTTCCCCACCGCAGGCTTCATCGACTTCATCGTGGAGCCCACCTTCTCGGTGCTGACCGATGTGGCTGAGAAGATGGTGCTGCCCCTCGCCGAGGACGGCACCAAAGCCAAGGGCAACCCGGTGGCCAGCCAGCAGGCCAGGTTGGCCGCACCATCCTGCCTCAGTGTCCCCTTCCCCAGGGGGAAGTGGTGGGGCTCAGCCTGGGGGTGGGGGGCACCCACTTATTTTGGGACCTGGGAGGTGGCCGTGGTGGCTCTGCCCTGCTCCCAGCTGTCCCCGTCCCCGCAGCTCGCAGTGGCGGCAGCCGTCCCTGGATGAGCACCTGGAGCTGGGGGACATCAAAGCCGACCTGGCTGGATTCCGCTCCACCTGGGCCAAGTACATCCAGGAGAACAAGCAGAAGTGGAAGGAGCGGGCGGCCAGCGGGAGGGGAGAGCCACCGCAGCCACCGGGGAGAGGATGGGGACTGTCACAGGGATGCGCCAGGGCTCCCTGGGTGGGGAGGTGGCCCAAGCACAGGGTGGGTGGCCCCCAGACTCGTGGGGTGGGTGACACCCAGAGGGGGGAGAGTTGGGGGGTTCTCAGCCCCCGTGGGTGGCTGGAGCGAGCCCCCAGCCCCGCGTCCCGCCGCAGGCATCACCAACCAGGCGTCCATCGAGGAGCTGTCGCCCTGCGAGGAGCAGCTGCCGGCGGCCCCCAGCCGGCACAGGCAGAACGGGGACGTGGAATAGCACCGGGAGGAGCGAGGTGGGCACGGGGGGTCCGGGGGCCAAACTGGGTGAGGGGGGGGAGTGGTGGCACCGCTGTGACTGTCCCCCCCCTGCAACGGCAGGGGGCCG